GAACTAAAATTATTTTAAAAATTTAATTTTCTTGATAATTAATTTTTTTGCAATACCGAATATATAAGGTAAGGAATTTTGAATGATCCAGACGTTCTAATAATTAATTTATTTGAAAACACAATTGGTTCCTATCCGAACTATTAATGTAAAATATACGTATGTAAAACGAATTTGTCATTAAAGAAATCACATTTATACTAACACTGAAAACCTTCCTTAATTATCGGCTACTAATTGTTGAGAACTTACTGGCTTTATTAATTGCAAAATTTTCTTCAATTTTTTATTAAAAAAATCCGATATACATTGTAACTTGTATGTTTCAAACTCTTTAAATGCCCGACAAAAAAATTCGAAACAAAGAAATTTTTTGGTTCTAAATAACATAAAATAGTTTGAGATAGAAAAAAATTCAAAATTAAGACAGTATTCAAGTTAGAGAAATTAAAATGTCTTAATAAAAATTTTAAAATGCTAGGTACGCGGAAATAGCTTCAATATTTGAAAGAATAGCTTGTTTTATAGAGGGTATACAAAACAGAGAAATTTGACTGTATTTAAAGAGAGACAGAGAGAGAGAGAGAGGGAGGGAAGTTTCTTATTAAAGTTTAAGCAGAACTATTTTACAAATTTTAACTCCGTAATATGTTAACGTAAATGTTATATTTTTCAAAGTTATTATAACTATTATACAAAAAAATTAAGTAAACAATAACTAGTGTATTAGGTTATACTCAAAATATAAACTAAACTACTCGTATATCTGTTTGTGTATATAGAATATTAAAACTGTAATACCATTGAAAATAAAATATAATAAATTTTTCATAACTATGGCTTGTAAAATATTTATGTACTTAGGTACGTTAAACAATCTGTTTACATGAAACAAGAAAAAAAAAAAACTTTTCTTTTATAACTTTTTAAGTAAATTTTCTTAATTTTCTTATATAATTTTTGTATTTTCCTTCATGCATTGATTGAAAACTTTTCCTATTGTTTATCCTTTAAGATCTTATAACAATGAATATTATATAAGTACAAATATATATAGAGTATATAGGGAAATATGTGAGTATATTTCGTAAAGAAAAAATATCAGTAGTTTGCCGTATACAAGTTCAAATAAAAATAAATATTCTTATGTAGATATTTAAAAAAAAAAAAAATAGTTTCTTATTACAAATTCCATAAACTTTACAATAATATTCTAACCATTAAAAACAAAAAAACAAACAATTTTATAACAAGGATTGAAATATAACAAAATGGAATTTAATATTCTTATACATAGTTATTTTTTTTTTCTATTATTATTTTCAGATAAACTTTGTGTATGTTGTACTGATTGAAAAACACTAGCGCTGGCAATTTATATTTTCAAATAGAATATGGAAGGATGCATTTTACAAAAAAAAAAAACAAAAATATAAAAGTTTAAAACTTAAGAAATACACAGGTAAATTGAATTATATTGTTATACACATTTATAATTTTGAAATATAATAGTATAAAACGAGAAAGAACAGTGTTGGCCATGACAACTCTGTGTTACCCGTACGAAATATGGAACTCTAAAAGGAATTTAGAGTTATGTTAACTATAAGAGTTCTCATACTATTCTTCTTAACATTTTAATATAAAACAAAGACCCAGATACTAAATTTGTGCTATAGTAAAATTTTAGTAAAATTTCAGTAAATAGTAAAATTGAAAAGTCTTTAAAATTTTTGAAGTTACTTGGTAACTTTCGTAAATATCTATACAATCACAATTGAAATTATGTCAAACTTGCAATGGCAGCCATTGTAAGGACTTATACAATTGCAATAAAATATTATAAGAATACTAGAACCGTATTATCGAACTCTTTCATACCAAACTGCAATACTTTATAATTTCCAAGGTATAGCTGTACATCAATTACTGTTAGAACTTGCTCAATTACTAGCAAAGTTTATGAAATTATTGGCCTTACCATTAAAATAATAAATAAAGCACAGAGTAATTTATTTTTTTATAAACTGTAGTTATTAACTGTATGACTTACTGTTCCATCGTACTTACTGTTGAACCGTTTTTTCAACCGGTTTTTAATTAAATAAGGTTCTTAATATGGTTATTGAATATTTGGTTAGTGTAGTTCAAAACCAAAAGCGTGTCCATTCCTTAGCATTGCAAATGGAACAGTAAATTTATAATATATTGGAGATCCGTTCGTGCGGCTATATTCAAGATGTTAAGGATATCAATATAATAAGAAATTTTAAAGAATATTAAAACAAAAATATTTTAATAAAATAGTTTTAAAAATTAAAAATATAATAAAAATGTCGTCTTAAAAAGACTACTATATTTTATTGAATGGTCTTTTATAATAAGATAGTATTTATGGGTATTTTTACACTATTCATCTCATTCTCCCTTCTTTTTGAAAAAAATTTCAGTTCAGGTATAAAATGATAGAGGATACATTTTTGTTCACGTAATACCGGTCAGTTAGAATTCGGTGTAAGCAGTTCTTAAGAAATAAATATAAGCAACAACAACCAAAGCGATTGTTTTTGTGTTCCTACATTCTCTGGTTTATCTACTGGAAAAAGAAACGAAATATAATAAATAAAACTTAAAAGAAGACAACGACCAGTGTGGATATATGGTATTGATATCGTATTAGTCCGTAGTCTGTTTTAAACCAAATCGTAAACAATTCTTAATGCCAACATTGATACACTCTGCCCCATGATTAATAGATGATTTTCATATTTTTGAAACCATATTGAGTGCCCTTAACACTTAAGATTCAACTTCTATTTGCTCTAAAGTAAATTGAGTTTGACGTCCATCTCAAATTATTATTAAAGAGAAGATTACAAATGCTTTAAGTTTTTTTTTTTCTTTCCTCATGTGTATAGATGGAGTTTAATCGTTTTTGAAGATCGATATGGAATTGTACAACCCACTAATGTGAAAATCTCTTTAATCTCTTCAATATTTTATTATAAATTCTTCAAATTTTGTTCTCCTAGTAATTATGCGTCAAATTTAAATAGCTCTATTCTGATAAGCACTATCCCTTTGTATTTCACCTTTAAAATAAATTTATCTAACTCTTTAAAATTATTTCTCCGATATATTTTAGTAGATGTTCTGTAATTCCTCTGTTGCTCCCTCGTTATATAACCAATTTGCATTTTCTATGTTTCATTTGAAAATTAATTTTCTCTGCATCGGTTCCTTTTGACATCATTATTATGTTTATTAGACCCAAACCCTCTTTTTTTCCATGTTATGTAAGATTATTGTTAAGTACTATTGATAATAATTTCAATAATAAAGCGAAATGAATTTTTTAAATTCCAAAATTTCAAAGAAAAATGTTCATTGTATCATGTCTTCAAATTTTTTTATTCCTGTTCAAGAATTATTCTGGTAAAATTATATTTCAACAAATTTTCTATTAGTTTTAGGATAATAAACGCAAATGAAAGCTATTTTTAGTATTGTAGCACAATAATAACACCTCAAAATTTATAAAATTCAAAGCAGATTCAATTCAAATCTTCTACAAATTATAAAATCATTGAAAGTTTAATACAGAAACCACAAGAATACAAAAATATATTGTATAAATTTTATAATTATTCCGCATTGTAATCAAAACTGATTTTTGTTTTTCTCGCTAAATGATCTTATATTATAATTACATACATACATTAAAATATTACAATGAACAGTAACTACACTCAATATTTTCTTATCCTTTTAAAATAGAATTAAAAAAATTTTCTATTCAACTAGAATAATTAAGTAGAAGTTATGTACCTATATGATAATTTTATTATTATACAATGTAATGTACAAGAAAATTGTGTTCAACAAACAGGATAACCTCTGCTAGGTAAATCCTTAAAGATTTACTTAAACTATTGTACACTATATGCAGAATATTTAAGATTAGAATTTTAATATGATGACAACAAAATACTGAGTATATTTTTAAAAGAAAATCTGCATAATATTGGTTTACCTTTGCTCTATGCATATGTAGGTATCTTCAATTACAATAAGTTTATATAAAAAAAAATCTAGATAAGTAAATGAGAAAGAATGACTTTTTACATAAATTTTTATATACAATTGTTAGAAAAACTTATATATGAAGTTAATGCTAATGCTATGTAAGTTAAAGAAATAAAGTTCCTTTAAAATAACAAGATTTTTTTTTTGTTAAATTTTCATGCAAATTGCAATTACTTTCAATGCTTTAAAGAGCATCCTCAGTATATTATAGAGAAAAGCTACTACATAATTTGCGAATTTTATTTAAAAAACGCATTCTTAAATATATTTTTAAAAATTTAATATTATTATGCAATTCTAATGAGCATATTTGAAAGCAATATGATAGAAAATCACAAAAAATTTCTTGATTAGTGAGAATTTTGAGACTTCGACATTCTTATTATAAAATGAGCACATAAATAATGAAAAATTGTACAATAATGCTGGAAACTCAAATTTTGAACTGTGTGCAGGCTAAGGAAGACATGTAATTTTCGATTTTACAATTGCAGCTTGATTGTAGAATCATTGCGCGCATATCTAACCAACTAAACAATATTGCGTCAATTCAAATCGAATGCATTACATGAAAATTATAATTAATTTGCAAAATATTCCAAACTGTTTGATTGGTTAATTGCATTCGGCCATACATTTGCAAGTGTACGAGTTTGAATATAAACCTATAGAATACAAATAAGCAATCAAGGAGTTGCAAAACTAAAGATAGTACAATCTATCTGAGCCCTGGATATTACAGCGTTTGTCAAATACAAAATTTGAAATGTAAGAATTTTTTTGAAATTATTTTAAATATTTATTGAAATTTCTCTTAATAGTTTTGCATCAATAATCTGCCAATTAACACTTCCAATAAGGTTAAATCAAAATAAGAAAGAATTTGTACCATTAAAACATACTCCAAACCATTTTTATTTCAAATCATCTTCATAATTTAATTCAATTATTCTACCAATTAATGGTATATCATCAATTTTTGTTGAATTTGATTTACTTAATCTGTTCAATTTTCCTGTTATATAATCTTTTTTAAATTTTCGCCATTTCATATCATTTACAAAATAATTGAACAGTTGTTCTCTTGTTGGTACTAAAATATTTAATGAAACAAAATATTTTTGCCAAATATTACCTTGATTTTGTTCTTTAGAAAATATCCAAAATCTTGGTATTAATAAACATTGAACAGTTGTACGTGCCATAATAGCACGATCATTCATTGGTTCACCTAAACCAAATATTGCACCATATGAAAATGTACCAACATCAATGAAATAATCTTCTTTATCGGATTTTTGATTTTTTAATCGATTCTTATCAAATCCAATTGTAAATAAATCATCTGGTGTATGAATTGTTGAACGATATTTTTTAATATTTTGTAATAAGGCAATTGTTTCACGTTTCATTTCATCATTTTCATTTATTTGATCTTTAGTTGATTGGTTACTTAATGTATACACTTTCTTATTTGCATTAGTTCGTCTTACATCAACTTTTAAATGTTGTAAAATCATACATTCACCACTTATTACAAAATAAACATAGTTTAAAAGTCCACGATCTCTAAAAAGAAAAACAGATATGGAAAAATATTATGATTTGATCAGATTATTGGTTTGAGCTTTGGATGAAATACAAACTTTCAGCATTGTCAGTAAAAAATTTTTTAATGAATTAATTAATTAATTAGAAAGTACAGGATTACATACATAGTTTCATGTTACTCCGGATAATTTAGAGAAAATTCGATTGAAACGCCGCTACTACTCACTCTTTTTGACTATACGCTATAAGGTACGTTCGCATATGTCCTGATTTATAGACATGTTAATAGATTCTTATGTTCAGTTCTTAAGAATGCATCGATTTAGACGTTTCTGTTTTATTGTATAGGTCCGTCCGTTCATATTTGAGGAAACTTAAAAATTAAACTTCAAGAAAATGAAATGGTTCGTAGTGTCAAACCCTAGAAGTTGAACACTATTTAAATCTTATTAAATTAAGACGGGGAGGTTATTTGAGTAGCATTTCTACAACTTCTGTCCATTATTAAAATTTTACTTAAAAACATGGAAGAAACGTGTATACTCCAATTAAACTTACTTATGATAAATTGTCTCCATTTGCTTATATTCCTTTAATTTTCCGAATAGAGCAATAAAATTTCTCTGCTCTAATGTAAATTCATTGAAAACATCATATTGATTTAAGGCTAAAAATTTTGATTCAATATTTTTCTTAATGTAGATTATTAAATGTTCATTAAAAATATCAGCATCAATATATAAACATTCGACATCAGTTCTCGCCGTATAAGTATGAGTTCGTTTTGTATTATGGCATAATGAAATATGTCCGATTATATCACCAGATGTCACTAGAAATTTATTTTTTCTTACCATTTTCTTTGTACATTCATCTTCCATCAATTGATGTGCAATAATTTCACCATTTAATATAAAATATACATAAAGTGGTGTATGTCCTTCATGTATAATATCATGATTAGATTGAATTGATATAAAATCAAGATATTTTGATATTCGAGCTCTTACATTTGGTGGAAATATTTCAAAACATTTTAGATTTACAACAATTTCTACAATTTCTTTACGATCCTTAACTGTTCGAAATTCTAATGGTTTTTTAAATAATAATTTTTGTTTTGTTGTTAGTATGCTTGTATTACGTTTTCTTCTTGTTAAAATTGCAATATTATGTTTTGCATTCAAACCAATTTTTATTTCATCAATTTCTAACAAAATTTTTCTACATAAAATAACTTTGCGTACGAATCTTTGAAAAAGAATTCTTATATGACGTCCTCTCCATTTTGGCCTTAGTTTTGGTGGCATTTAAAAATTTTATTTAATTAGAAAATTATTTTTTAAGCGAAATACTTAATATTATAAAATAATTTTTAATTTGACATAAAAATTTGATTGATTTTCAAATTTCTGATTGAAAAAAAATTTTTAAAATAATTTTATTATGAAATTTAATCACTCACTACCTTTAAATTAAGCCAAATATATACATAGCTCTAATAATAGCAAACCTTTATTAAAGTATTGGGAGATTTTAAAAATTTTTAATAAAATTTGCACAATATTTTAACTTTAGAACTACCGATGGGTGTTATACATACACTATTCTCACGTTGCCCAATATACTTATCTGGTTCATGAACCACCGAAATCCGAAAAAATAAAATGGCCAACTTAGAATAAAAAATTTGCTTTTAAAAAAATAATAAATAATTTATTTAAGGCAATCTTGTATACAACTAGTAAATTTGAAACGTTCTGGTGAATTTGAGTGCCAGTTCTGGTGCTAAATTTGAAATTTTACGAATAGCAGTAGTTAGTGTTAGTTTAATCAGTTAAATTTTAAGTTAACATTTACAATTGTATGGCAGCTACCTGATCTATTAATTAGAATTGATCGTGCCACAATTATTGTAGTAGTGCTTGACAGAAAAGAAACAATTTTGAGAAGTTTGATGGTGTTTTCTCTTTTCAATTTTGAGTTATCTTGCAAGCAGATGAAAATGTGTAAATTATGGCAGAATCTTATGGCATTTTTCCGATGTGCCCTTACCAAAATTATATACGTTTCTTCTTTCATGGTATAGGGATTTGGGATATAGCAAGTATAATAAATACTCAAGATTTTGTTTCATAATTTTCAAATTTTGGAGATTTTGTTTGAAATTTTCAAATTCATGAGATTTTGGAGAAATTTCCAAAAATTTTAAAATTCTAACCAAACACAAAATTAAAGTTATTTCCTAAAAATTCAAAATACTAAATTTTTTAATGTAAAATAAATTCGTCCTATGTACAAGACCATTCTGATGTCTGTACATATTTTATATACATATAATATACACACGTACAAAAAATGTGATTTTTAAAATAAATAAAAATTTGAAGTTCTTCCCAAATAAATTTTTTTTTTTTAATATAAAAATTTTTCATTTAATATAAAATTAAAGGTCATATACTTTTAATGTACTTTATAATATTCCTTGTATATATTAGTGTTTTTTTTTTCCATATATCCTTGAAATAATCCAGGTATATTATTATGATTGAAGATGAGATGCAAAAAAAAAAACAAAAAACAGGAAAAAAAAGAATAAACAACATCATGACGCAATTTTTTTAGCAATTTTCCATTTTTTTCTTCTGATTTTTTTCTTTTAAACACGCAATTTACGGTTCGTTGAATAATTTACCGTTACTGATATGCATTATTATTTCGAAATTATATAATGACATACTAAGAGTATAAAATATAAAAACAACATTATTATAAAGTTTATTAGAGAGAAAAATGAACGAGAGGAGTTTTTGTATTTTTTTCTTCTTATATATATTAAGTGTATATATGAGCAATTATATTGGTTTGTGTGTTCGTTTCTCCGTGGTATTTCATGCATCCTTAAACTAATTTATTGAATACGCCATTTTTAATTTTATAATTGAGCCACAATAATATTATATATGTATGTATGCATGTTTGTTGAAGGAAACAGCTTATTAGAATAATTAAAGATTATACGATAATAAGTGTACATAAATAATATGCATATATATATATATTAAAGAGAGAGAGAAAGAGAGTATTTTATGAAAAATGGTACAAGGAATTAAAATATATGTATGTAAGATTGATTTTATATTTTTTTCTTCCAATTTGTAACTTTAATATTATTATAAAAGGTTGATTACATGTTTTCATAATGTGTGTTTACACACTCTAGAGTATTAATTTAAAGATTTAATTGATAGTTATTAATGACATGAAAAATTATATTAAAAGTATAGAATTTAATGAAATTTAAGAAATTTAGATTGTAAATTGAGAACAGTTTTTATAGAAATACAGTAGTTATAGGTATACCTAAATGGAAAATCCAAAAGTGATCCAAAAGTATGTGATTCTTCTACAACAAATTAATATTTTATTAGAGATTTTGAAATGTCATTGAAAAATACTCGATTTTCTCCTAAAAATAAACCGGAAAATGAGTTTAAAAATTCTGAAAATTATGTGATGCTTTATTTTCGCATTAAAAATTCTTTTATCTATAGTTAAAGTTTTCTTCAATTCTTTTAAACATGTTTCTAAGACTATTTAAGTTCAATTAATTAAAATTAAAAAATTCGGAATTCATTTTCGAATTTTGATAAAATCTTTCGTTTATTTCTTACACCAAAAGCATATATTGTGACTTAGAAATTGTTTTCTTTTCTCAGAATCCTCAGTGCCATGTTGAAATTTTCATCATCATCACTACAGGAGTTCAAAATAATGTTTTCGTCAGAAAAGGAAGGCACAAAAAAAATGCAATCGAAGCGATCTTTAGAATGATGACAAAGTTTTACACATAAAAGCTGGAACTTGGACCAATCTTATGAGCTAATAGACTTTTACAAGCCATTCCAAATATAGAACTAATGTTATTATACCAAAGTATCTTAGAAATCGAAATACAATACTATATTACAGAAATTGTACAAACTAATTCATATTTTAATATACAAAAACACCTAGGTCTAACTAGATTTTAAAATAGTTATATTGAATTTCTTCTCTGTATTGTTTTTATTACGTATACAATACAGAATATCCTGAAAGTATGCAACACTTTTAATATTAAATTTTTACATTATTTCTAATTATTAAAAAATCGTTTATGGATTATTCTTATTACGCAACAATTAAGACTTATTTTGAGTATAACAACTTAAATAACAATTTTGATTTTTAATAAGTTTTGATTACTGTATCACACATTGTAGTACTTACAGCTCTACTTTTAAAAAAATTTTATAGTGAAAAGCCTACAATTATTTTCATTTCAAATATCGATTGAGCATTAAATTGTAAAGGTAATTGAGAATTAGTAATTTAATATTTTTATATTTTTTTTAAATTTTGTTCAAATTACTTCAAGAAAAAAAATATTCAATACTCTTATTTTCATTTCTCAATATTGAACTTAATATACTATTTTTTGCTTAAAATTACAATTTCTAAGAAATTTTTTTATTGGAATATTAAATTCACAAAACATGCCTATAAAATATGGACCTACACTACAGAAATATCCTTTCATTTTCTCTTTTTTTTCATTTTTCTTAATAAATAATTGAAAATATATACGTAAAATTAAAAATTAAAGTATATATAGAATATTTCAAAATTAAAGGAATTTTTTAACAAATTTTAAATAACTTATTCCTCTGTATAAATTCATTATTGGAAATTCTATATAATTACATGTCTATCAATTTCTATATCGTAGAATATTCAATGTTAACAAAATTTTAATTTCTAATAAAAAAAAAATTTCTTTTCGATTTTCAATTTCATATTCATATGTAAAAATTTTCATATTCGCATGTTTAAGTTTTCAAAGTTCAAACAGAACCAAAAAAAAAAATAACACAAACTTAAGAAGTTTTCTATTTTCTTAGGATTGGAATTTTCTTAGAATTTCAAATGTGAATTGAAATATGAATTCAAAATTCTTATATACTACATAAATTGAAAATCTTTTTAAAAGTTTTTATTATAATAATCATATAATCATATATTTATTAAGAACATTTACATATACACATGTATAATTACAAAGAGCGAGAGAAAGAGAGAAACTGAAATTGAATTATAATTAAAAGTTTATTGAAATTCTTTGAGTTAGAACAATATAAAAAGAAATTTATTATTTCTAAATTTAGTAAAAAAAAAAAAAAAAATTATTCTTTTTTCTGTATGAAATCGATTAACGTACATACTTATACTCAACTAAATTAAAATAAAATTCAATATTATATGGGAAATATGGGACGACCTTTGATATTTAATGTTATACCAGAAATTGATTTAAAAATATTGTTATATATACGATATGATTTTAAGCAAATATTTAAAAATAAATTTGAACAGTTGATTTTAACAATGCAAATTTCACTTCTATGTATGTATGCATAATTATTATTATACGTATAACATTATTTATATTCTAATATATTCTAAAATGCCATTAAGTATAGAAAATGTGAAAGTATATTAGAAAAACACAACATTGATTGTGTTACTTGTATAATGCGTTTTTAATTTTAAATCCTTGAACTCTTTTCTGACATTTTTTCTTATTAACATTTCTTTTATTCTTCAACATACATATACACGCGTTATACTTAATAAAGAAAATAGATTTTTGAAAGTATATTTTTGGATTTAATAATGACCTTGCCATTAAATTACAATTTGTATAATGTAGCCGGTTCTTTTTAATATTGCAAATTATTTTAGAAACTGCTCATGAAGTCTTACATTAAATTCCGATTTAGTGAGAATTCTTCTTACTTTAAATACATTAAAAATGCTTACTGTCGCCGCAACATATATAAAATTTGCCACTTATAAAAATCAGGAGGTCAATGATTCGAGTTCTCTTTCGTTCCATTAAAATTCAAAGCAAGTTTCACGATATTGATATCCTAAAAGTATGCAATTACCTATACAATACAGAATATCCTAAAAGTGTGCAATAATTTTTTTGTAATTTTTAAATTTCCTAATAATTAAAAAATTTTACTGAATATTATGAAACTATTTCGACCTATTATAAGTATAACAATTTAATAGCAAGCATTTTACTACTGTTTTAATATTATAGATATGCGATGATAGAATAAAAAGGGCCTAAGTTAACTAATAATAAAAAATCAAT